AAAAAAAAAAAAAAAAAGTAAAAAAAAGAAAATTAGCGGAGTGTTGTAAGACCTTTGGCTCCCACCTATTAGATCTGGGTGTTAAAGTTTAGTGCTTAGTGCCTTTTCCCCCCTCCTTTCCAATCTCAAAGGAAACACATGATTTTCTAAACAGAAATCCCATAGCACTAAAATAGTTTATTCTCTAAATATTTTTTCATATAACTTTTTCTTGGCAAAACTGGGGATTGAACCCAGGGCCTCCCCATTCATTTACATCTACAGCTCTTTTGAGACAGAGCCTCACTAAGTCATTAAGCTGCCCAGACTGGGCTCGAACTTGCAATCCTCCAGCCTCAGGCTCCCCGAGTTCTGTGATTACACGTGTGTGCCATCGGGCTTGGTTCACATAACATTCTTTGAAATCCTACATACCAACTGTAGTGTTTTAAGGTTTCAGGTATGGTATCTAATAGATATGTTATGAAACTGCATCCTATGATTTGTAGAACGTGAAGAATTCCTTAAGAAATAAGACTGAGGAAAGAGTGAGGACTGGAATCTTGTTATGGAGGGATTAGACATGGATATATACATGCTCAAGGGTAATTTTTGCAGAGCTCAATTATATGACATGACAATGAATGAACAGGTAGCAGAGGACAGCTATGCTCTATCAGCCCCCAAATCCCAAATGAAAAGGAAACGATGATATCCTAAAGTGAACACCACCAACTACATCTCTACAGGAGCCCCACAACTAGGGGACCTGTGGGGTCCTTTAAACAGGGTTCTTCTCCGCAAGTTTCTCAAATGGAGAGGTATTTTTTTGGAGAAGGGCAGAGTATGGTGACAGTGAAAATAGATATTTAACTGACATTAGTGGCAACGAATGGCTCTTCCTCCATCCTAGGATTTTAAAGCACAGATACTGCAGTGCATTAAGAGACTGATGGTGCTCTTGTTAATGACAGTTCATTCGTCTTGACTCACAGTGACTGTGACCCCAAAAGACAGACCAAACATCACCTAGTATGCAGGATCCTGGGGACAATTTTAGAAATGACAGGAAGAAATACAACACAGATAGCATGTCCAGAAAGATACTCTGTCTACATCAGCCAATCACTATGAATGCTATCGTCTCTTGTTCTTTCTTTCCTTACTAGTACATAAAAAAATATAGGCAATCATAAATTTCTTTGAAAAAAAATTTTTTTGGTACTGGGAATTGAACTCAGGCCTTTGTGCTTGCCAAGCAAGCACTTGTGCCACTGAGCTATATCCCCGGCCCATTTCTTTGAAAATTATGAAAAAAGAGGCAAGTATCTACATTCCTTTTTAGTCTCCACATAATACGCGGCACAAATTTCTGTTCAGAGATGATAAATACCAGTTTGTGTTAGCTGTATGATAATGCAAGACAAGGACCACTGACTCCAGACAATCACAGCACCTTTGAAAGGCATTCATCTCTGGTTAAGAATTGGGTATAGCTTGGAAACACAGCTACTATAATTTACCTTTATCCCTAAAAAAGGATGGATCCCTAAGGTATTTTTAGCTAGAATTTATAAAAAGATAATTATGTAATTTCAGAATTTTGGAGCTGCAAAAGAACCCTAAAAATAGTCCAGTCAAATTCTTTCCCAGTGTTATAACTGAGGCAACTGAAGCAATCATTCACAGATTACGTAACTGGCCTCACGTCTCTGTCTAAATTAGCAAGGACAGAACCCTTTACATGTTGTGAGTTTATGCAAGGACTTTAGGATAAAGGGATTCTGTGTATCTACTATGCTACACTAATCTTTAAAAGTTGTATTATATAAAAAGCAATATATTAATATTTAGTTTAAAATGTGATACCAACAAACATGATATATTACAACCATTTTATTAATATGAAGCAATAGGATAAATCCTTTACAGGAGTACTGATTCACTGCCATGAATGTGTACTGGTACTTTGGTATAGTATCATGCTTTTGACTCACTCAAATTATCATTTACTTTCACTTCCACATATATAAAAACAGTTATATTTCAGTGGTTGAGAGAACAGTACACAACCATGCATATTTTCTCTCTAGTTTAAATGCATGTAAGTATTCTCATGTACAATGGACTTTTCACCACTCAAGGACTTCATAATATATAAACAATTTTTTAGCACACTATTTCTTGCCATTTTCTTCAATTGGAGAGGACGCCCCCCCACTCCAAAAAAAAAAAGGTACTGTGGTACAAAAGATCCTTTTACAAAGTCCCCTTCTGCAGAACTACTTGAGAATACGGTGATAGTCCTATAATAAGACTGTAATCAAGATCATCCTACAAGGACATGAGGATAGACCCACTCTCTTGGAGAGTTTCTGATCTTAGTAAAAGTATTATAATGAAGAAGGGTGGAGATTTAAAGACATTCTAGCGGAAGACTCTCCTAGAGAGATTACTTTGAATGTATTTCACCCCTATAATGACTATAATGAAGACAACATGATAGTTGAATCATTCTGCTGAAGAAGTCTGTGTCCAAAAAGACATAGTAATGTAATTAAATGTTATCAGTTTCTTACAGCTTGTGAAAATATACGGGCCAGGAAAGCAGGAAGACGTAGCGCTGTAACGAAGAATAAGGAAGCACTCTTGCAGAATAACACCACACCGAAATTTTACGTGGTATCATGAATTTTCATGTCAAACTTTTTCACTGAAATATAAAATTTTTAAATGGCAACTAATAAATTTTCATGTCAAATCTTTTAACAAAACCCACAAATAGATTATAAAAACTGAACAATCATAAATGCTTTGTGTATAAAGTTTTAAGGGAAAGTTGAAATTTCTACATTATTCTCTTTAATAGAGTATCTCTGGAATTTGAAGTTACTGCTGAGGAGCAGCGGACACATTTCTAAAGTAATTCAGCTGTGGGAACAGCATCAAACTGAAGCTGGCTCAGCAGCACTCCACCAGGCTTCAGTCGTCCACGAAGGTCAGGCGCCCCGGCCCCTCGTTCTTCATCCACCTCCTGTACCTCTTCCACCTGGGGTCGCTTGCCAGCTTTTTCTTTAATTCTTCTTCTTGCTCTTGTTTGTAAACCTGTAAGTACAAATAATACTAAATAACTTTACAAAGAAAAGAGAAACATCTGTTGTTAACTTTATGGCATTTTTTTATTTTTCAAATTTAATTTCAGGTACAAGTTTACAGTGGCTATACTGATTTGTCTTCTGAAGACTGTTCATCTAAAAATACAAAGTAACCATTTAACAATGTGAAACAAAACTTGCAGAACTAGTAAAACCTTTTTGTCACAGGTTTCTGTAAGTTAGGAAAGTATTCTTTTTCCTCACGGAAATTCTATGTAAACTGAGTTTAACTAGGTTAATATTTCCCCCACACAACTAATGTCTAATATTAAAGAATCAACACTACAAAGAACATCTGTTTTTAACTTTTAGTGTCTGTCAAATGAAACTAAATGGACAAACTGTAATGTTATAGACAGTTAGAGAGAAATTATTACTTCCAAATACTAGGAAGTAATGACTAAGATAACCTCATATAATAATCTATGAAGCCGGGCATGGTCATGCATGCCTATAATCCCAGCAACTGGAAAGCTGAGGCAGGAGGCTTATTGTGAGTTTGAGACCAGCCTGGGCTACAAAGTAAGCTCAAGGCCAGCCTGAACTGCATAGTGAGACACCGTCTCAAAAAAAAAGTTAAAAAAAAAAAAAAAATCTATGATACTTCAGCCTAGTATAGTCATCTAAGGCAGGTTTTTTTTGTCTAAGAGATAAATTTAAGAGCTAAATAATATATTAACTTCCATTATCATGTTAACAGGCTAAATATATTTACCTGCCAAAACACCCAGCAACTTGCAGCAAGTTAATTTACTTAAATATAATTCAGACTAAAACTTTACTTTCACTGAAATCTATTTAGGACATCACCTATAAAAAGCAGTGACTATGAAGTTCAAAAAACAAACCTCAAACTTTGTAAGAGGGTTCTGGTGCTCTAGTCTTATATTCAATATATTAACCAATTAACTACCCAGAACCTAAAACAATATCATGTTAATAAGACACTAGTCTCGAACATTGTGGATAAACAGCCGATCCCTCAAGTTAATTTTTATAGCTGACAATTATTTTTTAAAAAGTATTTAATGAAAAGTACACTATTGGGGATTAAACCTAAGGCTTCACCATGCTAGCCAAGCACTCTACTACTAAGCTATATCCCCAGACCAAGAGGCTCAAAATTTAAAGGCATGTAAGTTGACTTAAGTTGACTTAATTTAAAAATATAAAGAGCAAAGGAAAAGACAGATAATAGGCACCAGGGAGATACACATTTTGCAAATGGGAAGAGGACCAAGAGATGGAAGGAGGGGAGAGGTAACCAAGGGGAGCGGAGGTAAAAACAGCCCACTCTCCATGATGAATGTAATCATTATGCACTACAAATATGTACTAGTTAAAAGGCATTAATAATGTTTGAAAGGAAAATAGAACTTTCCATACATGTTAGTTACCAGGCAGAAGGTTCTGTGCTCAATTATTCTGAAACTGTTCTTTTTCCATTTCCAATTCTTTATCATTCCCTTTCCCCTCTCCCTTTCTTACACTTTTTAAAAAAACTCTGCGGTTAGGTTTACATGACCAGAAGAAAGCTTGGGAAAGACCAAATTGTAGTTGGTGCAATTAACAGAAAATTGTTCTAACACTCTTGCAAATACTACATCATTCCAGTGCAGTTTAACACATGAGACAATTTTTAAAACTTTTTTCAGAGTTATCTGATAAAGTATCTGAACCCAGTATACCTTTTAAAAAGATAAATTACAGATTAAAAACCCAATGCCCAATTACAAAATAGTCATACGTTCAGTAAAAATAAGGTATTATCCATCCTTTGACCTCAGCTTTCAGCAATTTAAGCCCACTTCATCATACAGGCAAGAGTGCTTGGTAGGAAGGAAGATACTAAAATCACAGCGGCGTCGCTACTCACCTCGTAATTCTCCTTTATCCAGAGCTCGCGTTTCAGGAAAGTTTCTTTCTGATGATCTTCCAGACTATCAAACTGAGACTTTGACATCTTCATAGATTTACGGATGAGATACAGTCTCTCTTCTTCTCCATACTCTTGGCCTTTGATGTTAAAATTGTAAATCCAGCGGCAATACCAGACTATATACGAGCACAGGTGGAAAGGCGCTAAGATAATTTGAAACAGGAGAAGATCACGGACTTGGGGTTTCTGGTAGCCGCCCTTTATGTCTATTTTGCTTTTTATAATGTTCTTTATGATGTTCTCCTCCTTGTCACGAATTTCTTCTTTGGACTTCTTGTTTCTGCCTTTTTCTTTGGCTTTCTTGAGTAGTCCCTGCTGTATAGCAATCTCTGTTGCTTGGATACGGTACTTGGGCACTGTGGCTAGGTAGCTGATGGCCTTATTGTAGCTATTCCACCAGCTGAAAAACTAGAATATTTAATGAAGAAAAATAAGTCACTTTCATTCCCACAATTCACTGAAACTAAACCAATAGTAAAGGGTCTTAGTAAATACCATTACCCAAGAACTCATTTAAAAATAAAGATCTCAGCTGGGCACAGCGGCACATGCCTGTAACTCTAGCACTCAGGAGGAAAGCGAGCTCAAGGCCAGTCTGAACCACAAAGTGAGATCCTGTCTCAAAAAAAAGGAAAAAACAAAAACAAAAACAAATATATGGACCTCAAAGCTCTTACTTTATAAGTAAATTATGCAACTGAACAAAGCCCACATGTACATAGGATCTCAAGGCTGAATAAGTAGGATAAAGTCAACTGAACCAAAAAGTCATTGATTCTGACAGCAAACATCCAAGGTCAGATGACGGGTCAACGGAATCACACCACACCTGTCATTTCACATTTCTACTCCACTGCCTCTTCCTTAGATCACTATTAAGAACTCTGTCTCCTTTTCTTTAACTGTAATCTACTTACTAGAAGAAGAGTTAAATAACAAAAACTAGCTGGTAAGAAATTTATTTCTAAAATCCACAGGGTACAGATCAGTGGTGGCAAGCTGACAGCACACGTGCTGAGGCAGGCGTGCAGAGCCGTCTCTGTCGCCCCAGCACCGCCCCAGCACCAAGCATCGCATATTCAGGTTTAACTGCAGTGCTGGCACTTTGCGATAAATTAACGGGTTTGGGGCTGGGTCTCTAAAAGGTTAGCCATCACTGGTAGAGATTAAGGCAACTGTATCACTTTTATCTCTTTGCTAAGCCATCCACATATACCACAGTAACTCACGTCCTATTTTGAACTGAAAGATTCAAATATGTTTGAACTCTGTATTGGGACAGGAAAGCATTAACTGACTTCACACACATACTCAGCTACAAAGGGTTTTGCCTTCAGAAAAAGCCCTGTACCTTACAGAGTACAGTCATATATTTCAGTTCTCGTTTTACTGAATGAACACAGCAGTTACAATATAAATATCCTGAGGCAGTATAGCAACAGTTTACTAGATATAACACAAAATAATAAAGAAAAAAGTTATTAGAGTATTACATTATCTAAAGCAAAAAGGAAAATTATCCCTGCTCTCCCTCTTTGAAAGGGTAATGCTACTAGAAAAGCAGACACATTTAAAACACTACACCTTACTCTTTAATAGGAACTGCTTTATTATGCATATTGAATATCATTAACCTGGAGAAGTAATTCTCAAACTAGCAAATTGTTTTAGTCTAGTCACTTCATTTTTTCTTTTCCTCTAAAGAAGCACATGATGGAGATAGTTAATTTAAGAGTAACAGGAACAACCCATTAAATTTTTGAGATATTTTAAGACAACATGAAAGGTTACTGTATCCCTTTTCATCTGTTTCAGTGGTTTTAGCCAGAGGAGTAGCACCCTGGGAAGCACGTGGAAACGCGCGGGCACCTCTGACTGCTACAGAGATGGCAGGGCTACTGGCATTGTGGGAGGGAGTCAGGACGTGTCAGGCCACACTAAGGACTTCTTACTTTTCCCAAGTTTATGAGAAATCACTGAAAAGTTCTACAAAGGTAAATGACATGATCTGGCTATTATACAACAAATACTCTAGAGGGAGCACCAGGAAAGACCCAGCTTTGGCAGGGGTGAGGGTGTAGTTACATAACAATATTCACCACCGGATTTCCAACTGACAAAAATAACAATACCCTCAGTTGCTTGAAATAAATGAATAATTTTCTAGTATAAAAAAATTAATCCCAACTGGAAGCAAAATTTTACATAAAGGTACTTTTAATGCAGTTCTGGTAACCAGCAGTAGGCAATACGCACTCATACACAGACATACAAATACACATATAAATCGATGCACACCTGAAACACGGAAATGGCACACACGCTGACCAAAATCACCACCCTGACATCCACTTTAGGAGCTAGACGCCTGCTATAGTAGTGGTAGTAATGGCTGTAGTATTCTTCTGGATGATCCAGCATGTAGTCATAATCTTTCCGTGTTTCTTCATCCTGTTAAATGACAAAGTAGCCAATTTTATAGGGCATTTTTTTAAGTGGTCTTAGTTTATAACCTGTTAAGTCAAATCTACAAATTTATAATTATGTAAGATTATTCTGAATTTTAAAAATCGTCAAAATAAGAATACTTCCCATTAGTCTTCAAAGGCATACACAAATTTACTTCCACAAATGTCACATTCATTATAAAGGCATAATAAAAATATTCTCCAGATTTTTGAGTATTATTGATCTTCCTGGAAAACTACAATACTTTAAACAACAATTAACCATGCCTTTTTAGCTAATGTTGTGGTGCTAGTAATAGCACTAAGTTCCTATATAACTTAAAGCACATGATAAAACCTACTCAAAAACTGTTGACAGAAAAAAAATCTCATATATACATACAATTGTATTCAACTTTGTGTAGGAATTTTTCTATTGAAAGTGGAATCTGAAACCAGTCCGTGCCTGAATTATGATCATCCCACAGAAACACTGTGAAGTCAGTATAATGGTAAAAGTCTAACTTTATGACCCTCCACAAAATACTGAGCCTCTGTAAGCTCTTCTTCATTTTTAAAGAGATAGCACTATTTGCCCTAGTATTTTAAACTTTGTTTTAAATATTAAATGACATACATTATAGAAAAGCATGTTACAAATGTGTAACACTTTACTATAATCGTCACCAGTCTATAAATAACCGACCTGTCTTAATCATATAAACTCACTGAAAGAATTACAGCTTTCTGATACCCTACTCTGAATCTTCACGAAGTTTTTCTTAAAATCTTCTCTAGTTCTAATCAATTTCTAACCAATAAATGCAATGTTTTATTGAGCTATCTAGGTTGAGGAACTAATAATCTATGTTATGCCTTACTTTTTATCCCATAGGAAACCTATTTTACATCCTGTCCCATATCAAAACAATGTTAGAGACTAAAATAAAATGAATTCTTTATATGTGAGTTCAGTAGAAACTCTCACAAAACAAAAACTTTATTAGTACATGTTTGCATAATGATTACATTTACTGTGGAAAAATGCTTTTTTAACCTAGAGAATTTCCTTCTAGGTTAAACTATTCAATATTCATCAAGTATGTTCTAAGCTAGTAACACTTCAAAATCTAACCAAGTGCCTTGTCCCTGCAGAGAGGAGCTCTAGGGTCTATTCAGAGACTCCTTTTGAGTCCTTCAATATATAGTTTCATAGATTTAAATTAAGTTTGCTAATGATAAAATCTTTCCTGTGCTAATTAAACTTATCATGTATTCTCTATTAAAGTTTCTCAATTTAGCTGTACTTACAGGCTCATGCCTGCAATCCCAGTACTCTGGGAAACTAAGGCAAGAGGACTAGAAGTTCAAGCCCAGCCTGCGAACTTTGCAATTTGGCAAGACTCTCTTCTCAAAAAACACAAACGGGGCTAGAAATATAACTTAGTGCAAGGGCCCTGGCTTCTATTCCTAAGTACCACTCCCCCCAAAAGATTGTTTTATGGCACTATACTGAGGACAAACTGCCTGTGTGCCTGTAATATGAGAAGCAGCTCAGGTTGGCACTGTTTTCCAGTTCATCCCTAGTATAATCCTTTCCACCAGAAAGGATTTTCTTGTAGCCATTGCCACATGCCCCAACTACCAATCCATTACTCCTTCACTAAGGTATCCTCATGTTTCAGAGCTTCTAACCTAGAAAGGCTAAGTAAATGTTCACAGAGGTCACACAGACAGTCCTGAGGACTAAAGTCCACTTCTCTTGGTGTGTCTTATTTTGAATACTCCAAGGTATCCTTTCAGCATTATTCCTTCTCCACTTTTTGCTTTTTTGGGGGCTCATTTTATGGAAATATCTTGCTTTTGGTCTGAAATCCTTGACTTTTAATTCAGCCTTCCAATCTTGGCAGATGCTTTCTGAAATACAGTTCTTGCTCAACTAGATTGTATGTAATTTTGAAACTAAATGCCACTTACTCCTTCTCCAACTAGATTACATGTAATTTCCAAACTAAATGCCACCCTGAGATTAGATTCCTACAACTCTACAGAATCACTGCCTATGCTGCTGCAGAGCCCTTCGCCCATCTCGGCTGGCTGTACTCTTCCCGGCTGAAGTACACAGTTAGGCCTTTGCATGTACTGAAACCCGCTAGGTGGACATCATGTGTCCCATGGCTATCCTCTCTTCTTTGTTCCTGGGGAAGACCACATTCCACACAATGGGAGTATCATCCCTCCTTAAGTATTTCACCCCAGAGTCATCATCTTCCCACTGTTTCTTGATTTGTGACTTCAGCAAGCTCCTGTAACAGAAAGCTAATGCTCCACCAACAAAACTCCAGAATCTATCCCTGTGTCTGGTCTCTACAGCAAGCAGAACTGTGGGGTCTGTTCAAGATGCCCTAATAAATTCTCAAACTATAAAGGTCTACCTACAAAAAAATCTCAGGATTAAGCCTGACTTCCCTTTGGAGATTATTTTCCTACGGTCACCATAATTTATGATCCTGTTGTAGTCATTACTAGATACTAGAAAGTTGGCTCCCTCCTCTTTTAGCATTTATTTGACCAATTTAATTTTCACTGTAGAGCTTACAGTTTTCTACTCAGAAAGAAGAAAAGATCTTTGGCATGCATGCAATTTAGAAGGTATTCAAAGTTGGTACAAATTGGTAAATGTTAAGAGTTCTCAACATTCTCGGTGAAAATTCTACTTAGTACCCTACAATGTTTAGAACATAAGGACACCAGAAATATTAGCAAAAAAGAAAAAAAAGGAATAAGAAGGACTATATTTTTGAGCCTCTATTAGAGAGAAAAGGTACATTTGTATTGTAAAACCATATTTACTTTTTCTCCCACCCTTCTCAGAACTAAGGCAGCCCCAGCTTCCTGTTTTTATCTTCAATGTTTCCCCAAAGCCAAAATTAACATTTCTTCAGCAAAGTCCACAACTGGCCCAAACTTACCCACCTAACATCTCATACTGCTCTTCCTTCCTCTTCTCCCCATCACAAGCATTCAGATAACAAACCCTGGCATTTGATGAATCCTTCCAAGACAACATGCTTTCTCATACCTATGTTTTTGAATATGTAATTCTCCCAAACTTGAAACCATCCCTTTCTTCCATCCTCATGAACTTCTAAAAGGTGTAGATATTACTGCCTCAGATGGAGCTCGACTACTCATTTTTTGTGTGTTTGTTTGTTCATTTGTTTGTTTTGGGTGTTGGGGATCTAACCAAGGCCTCACGCATGCTAGGTAAGCACTACCACTGAGCTGCGCCTCCAACCCTGGACCACTCATTACACTGAGTACCTACCAATTATAGCACTTATCACATTGTGATCATCAGTTTTTTTCTTAAACGAGCATTTCTGGAAGGTAGATAGGATAACTCATTCATCTCTTTGTATCAAAGGCCTAGCACAGTGCCTGGCATTAGTAAGTGTCATTTCAAAACTCAGTGAAATGTTGTGAAGGTTGTCCCTCACTATACACACCTCTCCAGCCACATGGTCTCCTTTTCACCAGCAAGGCTGGACTGGTGATTACATGACAAAAATTTTGGGTTGGCAGAAATGACTGCTTGAATTCAGTCTATGAAAATATGCTTATGTGGCTAAAATAGCTTAAACCTTAAAACAGTTTAATAATATCTTACCTTTCAATAAGGTAGTACTTTTTCTTTCAGCAATTTTGTGGATCTTAATGTCCCAGGGTGAGGAGATTCCAACTTCTTTCCAAAACCAAAACCTTTTTACTTGTTTCTTCCTCCTCTCTGTCCTGAGCCTTGACAAGCAGGGCAATAAACTTGTTTCTAATCTCTACAGGAATAAATGGTGCTTCTGCTGTTGTCCATCCACTCCCAATCCTCTTGGGCATATGCAGGAGGACTGGAACATAACCACCAATATCTAGATCAAAAGTGAACAAGAGGAAACCCACAAGCAAAGAGAGCACTGAACCCTTCCTTCTCTTAAGAAAATGATCATCCCCCTCCCCAGAGGCAGAAAACATAATGTTCTTACCCCTTGAAAGTAATAATGAATTATCTGATCTCAATAAACATAAATTGCAATAATGTAATATTGCAGCCAGTTTGACACGAAAACTTTCTATTGCACAGACTGTAGAAGCCCATTTCAGAGGGTAAAGGCCAGGAATCAATAATATATGAAAATATAATATTTCGTTCATTCTTAAAAATATATATCGATCTGATTTTTAAAAGAATCACACACATACAATGCTTCAAAATATAACTTCTGGGAAAAAAATATGTAGCTTCTGTTCCCGTAAATGTTTTCCAGGCCATACTGAAGAAGAAGAAGATTAACTGCTCCGTCTCACCTCCTTTCTTGTTCCCTATCTGCCAGCTCCTAGTACAACTATCTTCTCACATGGCTTGGCATTCTGTGTCATTTTAACAACTTCTATAATTTGGACTGTTACCTACTACTGACCAATCTGTCTTTCCTGCTTTCTCCTACTTTCACAATTATTTCTTGAACATTTTCTAAATGTAACATTAATATCTCCAATTCAATAGGCTCAAAACTAAAATTATTTTCAATTAATAGTATCACCACCTACTTGATCACCTGAACTTCAAAAAAACCTTTACTACTTTAGATTCAGCAAATAAGACTCAGGGCAGCCCTGTATTAAACACAAAGAAGCCTCAAGAGGCTCCCCCCACCTTCTAGAAAAAGAATCTTGCAAGCAATAAAAGCATAATTTGATGCAAAGGCACAAAGAACTAACGCTACCTGAGGCCACTGGCAATGAGATTCACAGAGATGAAATGAGAGATGTACCTTTTAAAGCAAGGTAAGATGTGGTGAACCCAAGCTAAGGAAATAGCAAGTATTGTATTAAGATACAGAAGTATCAAAGAAAGACTCAATGAAGCTTGAGCATTGGGGAAATTTATAAAGGAGCACTAAATACATTCAGGGGGAAAAAAACCCCAAAAGAGTAAGCTAGGCATGGTGG